CTTTAATCCAATCAAGAAAAACTTGGGGTTCTAACTTACCGTCAAACGTCGGGGCGTCTACCTTAATACTCTTAAGGAGTTGCGTATCGTTGTCCCTCCAAGGTGCGTCACGTCCTACCGATTCTTGATGGGGTCGGTAGTAGTCTCTAGGAGGTCCGTACTCAGTTCGGGCATCTTCGCCATAAGGTGATTGGGGTCTAGATGGGGTATAGATGGCCGGGTGTCCTGCCCTTTCAATGTTGTCTAGTCTTTCCCCCGTATGACGTTTAAACTCCGCTACCCTCGTTTGGGTGTCCCTAATTTGTTGTGACATTGTGCCCAACTGGCTCACAATCATGTCTAAGGTCGCTTGCATATGTGTGGGATCCATGGTTGGGTGCTAAGGATCACTAGGAAGGCTTCCTAAGTCAAGGGAAGCAGCTAATCTCACTTAAATGCTTGCTGAAAATGTAACTACAGCAGCTGGAAAGTCTAGGGCAGCAAGCACAGAAGAGGGGAAAGTTACCTAAGTGTTTTGGTAAGGTTCCGGGGTCTAGACAACACCTAAACAACGACTCTAGGTTCGCTAACGGATGCTTAACAGTTGCAGGAAATAGTGGACAGCAAGTTAACACTACCTAGAAGTCACTCTAATGGCTATACTAAGTGCAGAAAATTAGCGGACAGCAAATGTCCAAGTGGCCTAAACTATTATGGATGTCAAATTGAAGGTGGCAGCACTTAAACACATAAAGATCCTAGTGTAAGATGAAATAAATGATGCAGATTTTTCTGGGCAGCAGTAGAAAAACAGGAATTAAAGCTATCTAGATGATGATATGCATGCAAACTTCTAATGATAACTTAAATTGGATTCCTAGGATGCAATCTAGCAAAGGGAAAGCATGCTAGCCATGCTCTGATACCAAATATGATGTGATACGTTCAAGAATTGCACATGAAATTCATTAAGAATCACAAAGTTTACCAATGTAAGATTAGACTTTCGTAGGTTAAGATTCAAGAAATTTTCCGTTAACGAAATGTTATGATAAGCGGTTACAAAATTCTTCTGGACAGCAACATTATAACTTAGGAAATCTGAGCAGAAAACCATAGGAAGGCTTTGGACAGCAACAGGAGGATTCACGGCAGCAAAAATGGTTGATTTCCCTTTGCTGGGGTGATGGGCAGCAAGAAGAAAATCTGGGATGTGCTAGACAACGTGCAACTTATGCCCAGAAATTTGGACAGCCACGTGAAGTTTCCAGGAAAGGAAGGAAATGTGGGAAGAGCATTGAGAGGGGGCAGTGAAATGAGGGAGAGAAGCTAGGTTAGATGAGGTGGCATGAAGTTTACTCAAATCTGAAATTAATCTCAGATTTTAGTAAATTTGGAGGGAATAATTTGAAAAGAATTTCAAATTTCCAATGTAATTAAGGGGGATTTAATGAGCAATTAAAGGGGCTCATCAAGAGGTGGCCGGCGGCATGCTTAGAGGGGAGGAGAGGTTTGAAAACTTAAAACTGAAATTTAATTTCAGTTTAAGTAATTTAGGAGGGAAAAACTTTGAAATCAAATTATGATTTCAAAACGGTCAAGGCATTAAACAAGCAATTAATGGGGAAATTTCTCCATGGGGGCCGGCGGCATGCATAGAGGGAGAGAGGGGAATTCAAGGGAGAAAGGATTCCAATTTAGGATGATGATGTGGCAATAGGTTTCATAACTCTAATCTAAGTTAAATTGAAATTGAATCCCATCATGAAAACGTTCATAAATTGTAGTTCCAAATAAGGAAATAATTCAAAATTTGAAAATTTCAAATTTCAAATTTGAAAACTATGTAGGGAAGGGGTTGGGTGGGTGAGGGGAAGTTGCCGGCAAGGTGGCCGGCCGGGGTTGTGGTGGTGGTCGGCGGCGGGTTCCCAAGGGGCGGCGACAATGGGGTTGAGGAGAGATTTCTTGTAGTGGAGGGGAGGAGATGGAGGAAAATACGAATGAAAAGATAGAAGGATTCAACCACGAGCCGCGGACTCTTCCAACGACTGGTGGGCCTTGCGGATTGCTCCCCTTGAGCTCTTTCCCTTCTCAAGCTCTCATGCAAGAAGAAGAAGTATAAACAAAATAATTTTCATTCAAATATTCATTAACCTCAATACAACTATAAATGACCTATATATAGCTCCAATACAACAGAAAATACAAAGACTATATTGCCCTCGGAGCTACAATCATAACTCAGCTCATCCTAAGGGTACAATAGGAAACTCCAAGAAATAAAAGAAAAATGCATAAAGAAAATACATATATAACTAGAAATATAAACTCTGAATCGTGGCCGTCGATCTGCGCTGTCTCCGGCGATACACATGCTTGAATCTCTGATCGATGTCCGCATCAACTTGATTGTCCAAAGTCACAATCTCCCACTATAACTATTACTGGTTACTACTAAAATTACATTCCATGTATTCAGCTTTAGATCTCTCCTTAGACTCTAAGGTTGACCTCCAAAATTCATGTTTTCTTTCAACTCCCTCTCTAGTCTTATCAATAAGAAGATTATGATTAGCAAAAAGCATACCCCAGGGAACATCTTATAAATTTATAGTTAGACCATCCATGACTAAAAGTAAAAAGATATGGGCTTAAAGTTGATCCTTGGTTTAATTTAGTTGAAATAGAAAAATACTTGATTAAATCACCTTATGTTTGAACCCAAATAACAACTTCTACATATATATCTTTAATAGCTTGAATATAAGCATTATCAACTCATTTCTTTTACAGGACTCTCCAGAGCACTTATTTAGAAACTTTATCATATATTTTCTCTAAATCAATAAATATCATATTTAGATCCTATTTATTCTTTCTATACTTCTCCATCGAATCTCTCGATAACTGTATAGCTTCCATACTAGACCTATCCAGCATGAATCCAAATTGACTTTGAGAAACCTTAGTATGACATAGTAACCTTACACATTGGCTTAATTCCTCTATTATTTGCACACTCTTGTACATCGCCTTTATTATTAAAAATAAGAATCAACACACTTCTTCTCCACTCATATAGCATATATATTTTTTTAATTTTCAAAATTATATTAAGAAGTTTTGTAAGCCAACAAATTCCTTTATCTCTTAAGCATTTCCACACTTCTATCGGAATATTATCGGTCTAACCGCTTTTTCACACTTCATTTTTTTAAGGCCTCTCTGACTTTAATTTTACTAATATTATGATAAAAATAAAAATCTCTTTTTTTATTTAGGATGCTAAGGTCACTAAAGTCAATCACATTCTTACATTCTTCATTTAAAAGCTTAGCAAAATATCTTATCCATCTTTGTTGAATATCCTCTTTTAATAAAAATATTTTTTATCTTCATCCTTAGTATACTTCACTTGAATTAAATCTTTATTTTTCCTATTTCTTTATTTGGCTAGCTTATACATATATTGTTCACCCTCCTTACTATTTAATCTATTATATAAGTCAATAAAAGATTTTTTTTTGCATCACATATTTCTTTCTTTGATTCTTTTCAAGCCCTTTTATATTTTTTTTTCGATTTTCCAAGCTTTTATATTTAAATGAATTTTTATAATAAAATTTCTTATTTTTTAATTATCTCTTCTTACACATTTTGATTTCACTACCTATTGTTATTATTAGGGGCATTTTCTTTTAATACTCTAAATATTTTATTTGCAATATTCTTAATATCATCAGCTACTTTTTTTTACATGATATTAACTTTCTCATGCATATTCAAAATCTTAAGATATTGAATCTTACATTTAATAATGTTATTGTAAGTGTTGTTTAAATGCCCTTATCTAATCTTAGGATAATATTTTATTTTATTTTTTGTATTCTCCCCCTTCATCTTAAAATCTAAAATTAATATGTGATGTTGGGTACATAATTTTTTACTCGGAATAACTTAAAAATATTTACAATTTAAAAAATTTATTTTTCTTATAAGAAAATAATCAATCTGAGTTTTATTATATTCATTTTTATAAGTGATGAGATGTTCATATCTTTTCTTAAATAAAGTATTAGCCATCATAAAATCATAAGCTAGAGCAAAATCTAATATGGTTTTACCAATTTTCTTAGTTGCTCTAAGCTCATAGCCACCATGAGTGTTTTTAAAATCTTCTATCATTTTACCAATGCCAATTTAATTCTCCTTCAATAAAAACTTTTTCTTCAAGAGATATATTTTGCATTAATTCTTTTAAGTCATTTTAAAATTTTAATTTTGAGTATATATCCAACCTACTTTAGGAGCATAAATACTTATAATGTTAATAATTTTAGCATCAACAACAATCTTTAAAGCTATAATTATATATCTAATTCTATTAATTTCTAAAACATTATCCTTCAAACTTTTATCTATAATCACACATAGCCATTTTTAATATGACTCCTTACCTAAATACCATAGTTCAAATAACCAATAAAATGTAATTTAGGTGAAATTAATATTCTTCTTACAATTTAGCTCTAATCATTTTCCAATCTCACTCATTCACATCTTCTTCCTTTCTTAATCTAACTATTGCCTTATAGCATCTGATTATTATGTCTCATATAATTATTAAATATCTGATAATAATTATATGTAAATTTTTAATAATAATATTATATCAAATACTAATCAAAATGAGTGAATTTAATAAATTTCAATTGTGAGATCTTCTCTTTAATAATAAAATAAATGAATGAAAATTAAATAATATTAGATAAATTTCTCGTCACTTTTCCTATAACCTAAGGTTTCATTTGAGCTCGCTTTCTTATTGCTTTCCAAAGTAATTTTTTAGAACAAAAAATTTTAAGTTCAAAATTTTAATGTGTAAAAAAATTGCTTTAAAAAATTGTAAGAAAGCTGTCATAAACAAAACTTAAATGCATTGTTGATAGTTGTGTAGTTCACATTTTAAAGTAAGGCAAAGTATGCTACATCAACAATTAAAATACTTTTTTTGAATGCAGAATGACACTTCTTCTTGGCCCCCCATCATCAGGAAAAACTACACTATTGCTTGCTTTAGCAGGAAAGCTCCAAAAATCACTTGAGGTTAGTGTTCTGGCAGCTCATCTAAGAATTTCATATAACTATATATGTGGCATTTTTTTTTCTTCTGAAGTTTATTGAATTATCTTAAAATTAGAATGGCATAGTGGTCTAAGTTATAGTAATTGTCATGTTTTAGACATTTAAATGTGTTCCTCACATTATGAAAAAAGAAAATGCTCTAAATGGTTCATATAAAAGAGTTTACAATTTAGACTTCGTTTAGGACGGCTTTCTTATTATTTTTTAAAATAAAATTTTAAGTATAAAAATTAAAATTTTTGTACTAAAAAGCTGCTTTAAGAAGTAATGAGAAAGTCGTACCAAACAAAGCCTTAGACTTCCAAAATGACAACGCCACTTTTTCATGCCTTGGAATCTTGCAATAAAAAGACAAATCAATAAATTGTTGGCCTCCATATCAATACCACGATATAACTTAGTCTTAGTGAGCAACCTTCCACTATCAACATGTAGTCCCAGCTATTTAAGAGAAAAATTTCTTTTTTTAAAACTCAAATTTTCACTAAAAAATGCAAAGTCTTAAGCCATTTTTGAAAAGTAGAATTTAGATTTGTCAGGGTTCGTTAAGCAGGATAGACAAGTTTTGACCTAAGGAGTGAAATATTTGGATATAGACTTTTCTCACAGTCTGAAGGTTAATTGCAAATAAAAGATGATAAATGAATGTTTCGTTGTAGTGATGGGAAGATAATTCCCATAATTAATTTTATTATCTTAGAGATAGGAAATAACATCTATAATAATTGTGAAAAGGACGGGTAAAAGCAGATATCCCATTTTAAGAGTTGTAGTAGCCTGTGATTTCTCCATTGAAGGTGATAGAGAATGGAACATTCATAATGCACTGATCTATTCAATTTATGGAGTTCATAAGGAAACTTTTTTGGAAAAGCTCGAGTAGAATAATGTGTATGTTGACACCATTAAAAGTCTTATTGAGGTCAAGTTTATCACATAAGACATCATCATTATTCTTTTTGATGAGCTTATAGGCCAAGGCAATGCTGTCAACTATTTCTCTATTTTTAATAAAGGCCGACTGAGCCGGGTGAATAAAAGCTGAAGAAACTCTTTGAGATGATTTGTCACTTCCCATAATCTAAATTGAAAAGAATTATATCTTTTATCTTTTTTATAGTAACCACCCGAGTTATCTAACTTCTTTCAATAATATAAAGTATCAGCGGAAGCCAATGTATTGATCAAAACATCAATATACATTTGTATTTTTTTTTTTAAAAAGTCATATACAATAGTCAAGAGTCACAGAAACACAACATATTATTGATCACTCCTGACTACAAAAGAATAAGTAAAGACCAAAAAGACAAAAAACTTGAAAAATCCTGTTTCTAATCAGTCTCACACTCCCGATCATCTTCCTTGACTTGAAATCATTAAACCATATATAATGAGCTTAAAAAGTTCACCAGGTCACTAAAATTCTATCACTGAATTCAAAGAACGAAAATGAAACAACATGTATGTAATCACTCAGTTCATAACAATAGCAGTCAATATGATTATGAATTTGTATAGAAACAGTAAAACACATGCTAAAATAATAAACCTGGTAAAATAGTGCAGTACAGATGTCGAAGTAGTAAAGCAATAAACAATTATTTTTAAATAGTACGTTGTAGCAATGCTATCAAAATAATAAAGAAATCACATACATCAATAAAACTAAAGTATTTATGAAGACTATTAGAAATTCATGATAATGCAATACCATCAGGAAATCGTATATGGGTATATACATGATATTTAGTTATTTTATATCAGTATCTTATATCACATGCTCAGTAATTGTAAGTCAGCAATAATAATATAATAAATCAATAACAACATATTAGTAATAGTAAAACAATACAATAAATCATATATATCAAAGCAATCATACTAAACAAGTAAGAAGTCCTGACTTGAGTGGTGTTTTTTATAGTAATCAGTAAATCAATAATCATTGGCTTAGTACATAGAGTCGTCACTCTTGCCTGTCGGCACTGTAATTAACTCCTTATCAGTAAATTACGTGAGTTGGTAAAGAATAAGACCACAAACCACCGTATTTAAAGGAAAGCCCGTTGGCTCACTATCCTTAAAAAGTATAAATAGTCTCCAGCCAAAGTCAGTGAATAACTAGTCTTTAATTATTTTCACACACTGTTATTACAATATTGTAAACCTAATAGCAACCAACTTGTACTTAATCACATGCCCATATTCATTCATAATGTTTGCATTACCAATATAATTGTATTAAAATGCTAAAATTACTATTCCTATTAAAATCATACATAATGCAATAATTTTCATTTTAACCGGTGAAAAATACAAAACCAACCAGTCGAAATAATAAGTACTACATTATATTAGAAGTTATGTGGTGGGAGTTCATTAAATAAGGAGAAAATGTAATAGAATCAATTTGGAAGAAATCAAATGGTAGAAATCAAAATATTTGAAAATATAAAAGTCACATGCAATGATCTTAAGAAATTTTGTAAAGGTAGTGAAATGAATCGGAGGCAAAAAATTGGGTTTCTCTTTCCTCTCTCCTGATTGCTATTGTGTATGATTTGAATAGGATTAATAATTTGAGAGAGAAGAGAGATATGTACTTATTTCTCCTAATTTTCATAGTGGAGTTCTTGGTGTGGTGTGACTCTATGTTTTTTTTTTCTTCCTATTTTGAGTTTTTCTACATTAAATCCTAATGTTTTTTTACTTTTTTGTTGCTTTTACTTTCTTGCTTGTTTTGTTATTGTGGTGTTTACTACTCATTTCCCCAACAGATCCTATTTAGAACATTCCGAAAATTGACACACACATCTAGAGGAAGGAGTTCCAATTAATTTTGGAGAAATCAAGGCAACTTCTTATCTAGATCCAAAGGCCCTAATTCCAAAAAGTTTTCTTAACCACCCTTTAACACAAACTTCAACATTGCCAACCCTCAACTCCACCAATACTCAGATCCCTAATCCAAGCTCTCAACTCTCCAGTAACACCCATCAAGTTTCTTCTTTCAACCTCTCCTTTTCCCTCAATACCCATTCTTTCAAAGACTGCTTGTTTCCCCATCCCTCAACCACCTCTCAATTAATGCCTCGAATATTAGTCTCAAATTAATTTAGCTACTTGAAATGGCTCTAAATAAAATATAATCTTTGGACTTAATTTAAGATTGCACGTATAACCTAACCTTCCTCAAACTACTATCCAAGAGCAAGACCCTAACAAAGCCCAAGAATTAGTTACTCAAAGTCACAATTCCTCATCCCTAAGTCTCAAAAGAAGAATAAGCATCAATCAAAGCTCTCAATGTCATATTGATAATAGCTTCTTGGAATGTGAGATGCCTTCGAGACTACAAGTGGATAGTACATGATATAAATTTAGATCTTCTTTGTCTTCTGAAAACTAAGATGAATGTAGACACACTTCAAGACCTTTTTCATTCTCGTAAACTATCAGAATTTCCAAATGAATGAATCTTAGACCTCTCCATTGGACCGGTCCAGTCGGTCCACACCGTACCGGCCCAGGCGCGGGCAGAGGCGCGATTTTCCGCCTCTGGCACGTGCCGCAGAGGCCGCAAGCTTTGCGGGAGCCGAATTGGAAAGATTTTTTGGGGGATTAAGAGGGAAATTTGAATGTGGGACTGTTTAGGGATTTCCTTTTGATTTGTATGCATTAAATACTTTGTTTTTCTAGGATTAGGGCATATTGAATTTGGCTGAAATTTGAGATCTCCTAGATTTAGGTTTTCTTTGGGCTCTAGCGGCGTCTAGAGATTTGGGAGAGATCGATCCTCCTCTCGAATAGAGGATCAATTATATTTTGATATTTTTCATTTCTATTTCATCAAATAATACAAATTATCTACTTTTTTTTTTTAATTTTGTGCGGCTTTTTGAGGAGATTTATCGCTGTTTTCCAAAGATTGATAGGAAATACTTGAGATCTACAAGTGTATCCTATCAATGAAGCAACTAAAATTTTCTGCATAGTATTGGTGGTAGAATTTAGATGAGGTATCTCTTTATTGCCTATTCTCCTCACCAATGTTTAAAATTGCGTATTCGGGTATTGAGACGTTTTTCATTCGTGAGGCGAGGCGTAAGTCTCAAGGAGTTTTGAGGCGTAAGCCTCAAAATCAAAAGATTGCGTAAACATAAAATGATAAATTTTTTATATACTAATGAGCGAATAATATAAAACATAAAAAAGCATAATATATGAATTGAAATCAAAATATCCTAATAATAAGACAACATGAAATATAGTTCAACTCAAAATTCTATCTTTCCCAAATCCCAGTATTCTTTTTATTAACATATAATTCCAATTCCAAAAACAAATAGCAATGACATATCAAATAAGAATTCATAAGTCATCAACACTGTCATCACTAAGGGCTTCTTCACTTGAATCATCATTATAATGAACTGCTCTCTCCCCTTCCTCTTCTCCTATAGAGTCAAATGTCGGGCATTTACTTCAAGATTTATGTAAGTTTTAATATATATAGCGTGAGCCGTAAGCCTCATGCCAGTGAGGCGAGGCGAGCCTCAAGGCGGGCCTCAACCAAGTTGAGGCGCAAGCCTCATAAAAAAAACTCGAGGCGTAAGCATCGAGGCGTTTTTTACTAGAATTGCGCAAAGGCGGGCCTCAAGGCGAGCCTCATATTGCGCAATTTTAAACCATGCTCCTCACCTCTCAGCTCATTCATGGTGAGGTTGATTCCCTGAAAGTGTCAAATTCCTCATCACTATAATTTATGTTGCCAAGATGTGAGATATAGAAAGAATCTTTTAATTTCTCTCTCTGATGTTTCTTGTTCTGTCAATCTTGAATTGCTTATATTGGGAGATTTCGATTATGGTGGGTGTGTGGCGGAGGGGGGAGTTCGATCCTTGCTAGCAAGTTGACTGATTTAAACTACTGCATCTTCTGAACGGGCCTTATGGAACTCACAAGCATTGGTCTTTTCTGTTCTTGATCAATTTTTTAGATTGACAATCCCATCTCTACCAAAATCAACAGGGCTTTCTGTAACATTGAGTGGCTCGATCTTTTTCCATCTTCCTTCTACATGATTCTCTCCCCTGATTAGCGAATCTGTCTTTGTTGTAGATTTAACTGGTAAGCTACAACTCATGTTGATTTTCTTTGAGAGCTTCTGAATCTCTATTGTTTTTGAGGAAACTTCTTATTATTTCAGTTACAGTTTTCGTTCAAAAATAGCTCTAATAATTGTAATTTTGATAAGAGTAAATCCAAAACAAAAGTAATCTAAAAGACTTGTAAAATAGCAAAGAAAAAAGATGAATATAGAAAACTTTATTCATAGCTGATATTCCCACTTCCATTGATATTAATCTGTGTGCAGTTGCTCATAGTGAGAAGAATGCTCTCTCCTCCATAAGCATGAACTCCTTTCACGCCATCAGCAGTTGTGTCCCCGTCCATGAACATTACCAATATTAATAACAACAATCCTCGCAAATCCAACTTATATAACCGTCATAATTTCTTCCCTTCTGCTACGAATGACAATCAGCTTACAGCGCTTGCATTCAAAATGTGTACCTCGACTATCGAAAAAAATACTCTGCAGCTGGAGGCAACATTCAGGACATTTGGTCTTCTCCGGAGCTGCAGAGCTCCTCTGTTCTCCCTCTTCTTCATCTTGTTATTTCCAGTACTGCTGTTTCCCAACTCCTTCCCACGCTCTGTATACTAGCTTGAAAGCTCCTACAGCAGCTGAAGAACTGTTTTTGTCAGGGTGAGTGAGAGCACGCAGTTCCTTGAAGCGCTTACGTATCGTTTCCAGGCCGAAAGAACGTTCGACGTTTAGATTGCATACCAGTCGGTTCTGTTGGGAGATTTGGGATCAAATGCCTAAGATTCAAGGTGAGCTGCAAGGCCATGGAGGTTTGGGAAAAGTCGCTTGGCTTTGAGAGCTAATTGTATAGCGCCGAAGGCATCCCCGGCGTTAAACTTTGCCTCGGCCTCTTCTAAGGCTTTCTTAGCGTCGATTAAGTTGGTATCCATGGCAAAGAGAAAGTGGATGATTGAGCTTCGTATTTATGTCTGTGTGATGAGGAATTTGCAGAGGCGAAGGCTGTTTTGGTTTGGGCAAATTATTGCATCCGGTCACCTGACAGAGAGATCCGTTCTGTCTACAGTAAAGCGCAGGTACCGTAGCAGCTGTACCTGCACTTTTACTGTAGACAAGAGAGATCCGAACGGATCTCTGTGTCAGGTGACCAGATGCAATAATTTGCCGTTTGTGTTGGCAAATTATTGCATCCGATCACTTGATAGAGAGATCCGTTCGGATCTTTCTCTGTCTACAGTAAAGCGCAGGTACTATATCAGCTGCTACAGTACCTGCGCTTTTACTGTAGACAGAGAGAGATCCAAACGGATCTCTATGTCAGATGACCGGATGCAATAATTTGCTGTTTGTTTGGAAGACGAGCAGGCACTACTGATCGATAAGATTCATTGAATTTTGTTTCAGTCTTTACTGTATCTTCGGGCTCTTTGGCTTCTGCTAATATCGAGAGGTTCAATTTCCCTCTCCTCACATCCCGCGCCCGCTCTCTCTCTCTCTGGGACGGTTTTGTCTTTTGCGCCTAAAAGCTGTTCTTAATGAGTTAGATTCGGGTTATATGGGTTGGTCCGAGTAGCATTTTTTATAAATTAATTACCTATTTGCAAATCCTTAAGGAGTTTTAAGTAGTGTACTTAAAATGTAATTAAATAAAATAAGTGTGATTATTAAAATTAAAAAAAGAGCAATTTTGTCATATCGTTTGTGTAATAGAAGAGAGATGATGGGAAGAGAGAGACTCGGATGGACAGATGAGGAGAAGATAGATGGGGAGAGAGATACTAGGAGAGAGATAAATACATTTTTTAATATTTAAAATAATGTTGAATTAAAATTTAAAAATTATTGTTTAAATAACATTGAATAAAATATTATTTAAAAAGTATATATAAAAAGGAATTAAAATATATGTTAAAAAATTTAATTAGAATAAAAATTTAAATAATATTATCTCTCTTCACTCTCTTCCTCTTTATTTCTTCACTCCCTCCCCTCATCTTTCTCTCCCTGCATCTCTCTCTCTCTATCATTTTCCTTCTATTACATAATGAGTCAAATAGTTTCACATTTAATTTTCGTGTATTAAAAATATAGTATAGAAATATAAGTTTGACATAATATTATAATTTTTATATTTTAGATAAAAAATAATAAAAAAATTAGAAAATTTTTAAGACACCTGTTTAATTTTTATTTAATATTTTTTAAATCGGATCAACCGCACGCCCATCATAGATGCGCATTATGATTCTCCGATTCAGCAAGCAAGCTGAGCCCATTGCAGGAAATTTTTTTTGGTTCGGTAACCTGACTTAGCTGTACATTCGATGAGCAGTAAATATGCACCACGTGTTCTCACTATTTACCGCGCGGCCCGACAACCTGACCCGAAACGGACCCAGGAGTTTGCGTATTGCTCGGTATTGTTCGGTATTGCTAGGTATTGGTCGATTTTGCTCGACAAAAACGAAAAATACCATTATGTGAAGACCAATACCGAGCAATACCTAAAAGAACTCTGTGAAGACCAATACCTAAAAGAACTCGGTATTGCTCGGTATTGATCTTCACAGAGCGGTATTTCTCGTTATTGCCAAACAATATCTAGCAATACCGAGTAATACCGAGCAAATACCGAGCAATACGCTAACATAGTAATCCCGGATTCCGATGCGAGACAGGTCGTCGGGCTGCGCGATAAAAAATAAGAGCGCGTGACGACATATTATTGACTACCAAACCTAGAGCTACGTCAGGTCACATGACCTAATAATCGGCAACTGCAGAGAATCGACCAAATCGGCTATTCTGAACCATGAACAGCCCCGCCGGACAAAACCGGCAAAGCTGGCACGCCACCCTATCCAGCGGCTGGAGAAGCAACAGCTTGAAGAAGCAGAGACCACGAAGATTCCCTTACGATTCAAAGAAGAAACGCGACGCCGCACAATGTAGAACGGCCGCACCGCGCCCTACTACAGCCGGCCGCCTTTGGGAGGAAATCCAGTGATTAATGGAGCGCAGGGAGGGGACTCCGCCGGGAAATCTAGGGTCGCAGGGGCGGGTTAGTGCGTATTTGAAGCTCTTTTTAACTATGCTGCTGTAAGTCATTAGCATAACATCACTAAATGAGTGTTATAGGTTATGTATATGTATGAAAATCTAAAATAGATTGTGAAACTAAATTAGAAATGTAGTTTAAAATTGCAGTAACTACTCGCTATTAAATTTTCTTTGATGGCTTCTTACAATATTGGCTAAAAAATTACCATGCAGGTGAGTGGAGTTGTAACATATAATGGTTATGAGTTAAATGAATTTTTACCTCAAAAGACAGCAGCATATATTAGCCAATACGACATGCACACTGGAGAAATGACTGTAAAGGAAACATTAAGTTTTTCTGAAAGATGTCAAGGCGTGGGTGATAGATACGGTAAAATTATTAAATCATATGCATGATAATTTCTGTATATTGATTGCAATTTAGGAATATATCGAGTACTTTATTTTTGAGTAATTTTGTATTGAATTGATTTTACAGAACTTTTAAGTGAGCTAGCAAGAAGGGAGAAGGCTAAAGGGATTGTACCTGACCCAGAGGTAGATCTCTTCATGAAGGTAAGCAAGTATTTGGCCTTAAAAAGTATAAATTCTTTTGGAAATATAATAAGATTGTGAGAGTTGAATGTTATTTAACTGTGAAAGTTTTACAGGCTACTTCCATTGAAGGTCAACAAATTGGTCTTCAAACGGACTACACAATTAGGGTAAGTTGATAATAATCATCATCACATCACTATTGCTATTATGATTGTTATTATTATTATTATTATTCGAAATAGATTTTCCTTCAAACAGGATAATGCTTGTCCTCTTCATTTTTTTTTTCCTAATCTATCATTTATAGAATATTCAGACTCAATATCACGTTGTTGATTATGATCTAAAACATAAGAATTATAATTGGATAGAGATTCATCAACTTATGTGGTCATTTGGCCATTCATTAAGTAGATGAAAAATACAAGGACAATCAAATGAATATAAAAATCCTTTCGAATGTATATGTTTATTCATGTATTTCACGAAGAAAACTGTTCAATACATGCCAGATATCATAAAAAAACTCATGTATTTGATTTCTAGCCATATTAAAGCCTTCATATATTGAAATCATAATCATCTTATCATTTAACTATAATTAATCATCCATTGTAAAAATTTTAATGCATTAATTGATAATCAAGTGATCATACCATTCTTTGTAAATCATACTTTCCACTATTTTTAATTTTTTATCTATGTTAAAGAGAAAATATGATTGCTATCTTGTTTTTGAGGTGATGACATCAAAATTTAATTGGGAGGGAAACGATGATTATTCTAGGAGAAGAAACATTTTTCTCTTAAAAAAAAATCCTCCAAGAACAAGAAAAAAATGCACACACACATATATCCCACTTATATGTATGCTAAATTGATATGCTTTTTATCAAAATTTGAGGTGTGCAGATTCTAGGTTTGGATATATGCTCAGACACCATCGTTGGAGATGAAATGAGAAGAGGAATATCAGGAGGACAAAAAAAGCGTGTTACTACAGGTTCTCAATGTTACATTGGAATATGAGATTGAATATTTTAACATATAAATCCTATATTTATTCTCTCATGAACAAAAATTTTGTATTTATAAATGCCATACTTGATTGATGATTAAATTTCACATGCTGTAAATTTTTTCATATAATTACAAAAGAGAATCCATTTTTCAATTATATAAAATGTTTAAAGTTTAAACAAATGAAATAAATAAATAGTAGATATGATTCACAAGTAGTGCGAAAAAAAAGAGTCGCGTATAGTTATGGATCAAAACATAGAAGCTTAATATATGGGGATATTATTTATATGGGCTAATACTAAATTGATAAACTCTAAAAAAAAACTTAAATAAAAAAATCATTTAATCTCACTTGTAGAACTAGATTAATCAAATTTAGCAGAATGCCATCTATATATCCATATATGCTCTTGTAGGAAGGGTTGTCAAAATAGGTTTTCAGATCGGGTTCAAGTTGAATCGAAATTGACCTAGGTTCAAATGGGTTGACCCTAACCCAACTCGATTATGTAAATGGGTCATAATTTCTGACATGGACCCGGCTTGTTGGGTTACTCGGTTGACCCGATTAGACCTGCTAACCAACCTAACCCGAATCTCCTTCCCAGCGCGAGCGAACCGTTTGGGCTCAAGCGATGTGAGCTAAGGTTAAAGGGTGTGCATCACGAGTGTGGGCGAGCACTGCCTGCGTGGGGTTCGGGTGCGGTCACAAGGGTTTGGGTGCAGTTGCGAGGGGTTCGGGTGATGTTGACGGTGCGGCCTTGCGGGCGTGGTTGGGTGCGGTCCACACACGAGGGCAAGGGGACGGGCATAAGCGCAGTGCGGACGCGAGATCGTTGGGCAATGGAATGGTATATGGGCATCGGTGCGGTGCGGACGCGAGATCGCTGCATGTGGTCAAAGCAATGCTCACTCCAAAGTAGGCCTCACCCTCCAGGGTATTTTTTAGTATCATATTGTGAACAAGTGACCATTTACCCCAACGGAGCTTGTGACGTAATACACCTTTTGGGGGGTCAGATCGAAGGCATGCTTATTCTCAACGAGTTTGTCCAAAAGATTTGCCTATACCAGTTTGCGCCATAAGCGACACTTGCCACAAAATAACTCATTCTTCAACAGAAGTTGTTCTCAATCAAGTTCACCTGCGGCCCGCCTTCCATAGATATCCCAAATTTAGATACATGAAGCTCCAACGTATAAAAGCTTACGACCATGACTTTATTTTCTGAATTTGTCATTAGCTCACGACCACAAATGCCCATGCCACTCGTCATTTATTCCTAAGGACTCGCCACTCGTACCTAGGGACTTGTCTTCACATACATGTTATGCATAACAAACTGATAGAAAACACTTGTAGATCTCAAGGATTTCCTATCAATCTTCGGAAAACAATGAAAATTCTCTACAAAAATTTGCACAAAACCACGAAAACATTATAATTTGTATTATTTGATAAAAGGGAAATGGAAAATAGCAAGATACAATTGATCCTCTATTCGAGAGGAGGATCGATCCCTCCCAAATCTCTAGCGCCGCTAGAGCCCTCAAGAAAACCTAAATCTAAGATATCTCAAATTTCAGCCAAATTCAAGATGCCCTAACCCTAGGAAAACAAACTATTTAATGCATAAAAATCAAAAGAAAATCTCTAAACGGTCTATACATTTAAATTTCCCTCCCAAATCCCTCAAAATTCTTTCCCAAAAAACTCCTTGAAACCTGGCGGCTTGATTGGCGTACGCAGGAGGCGGGGAAGTGCCGCCTCAGTCGCGTCTGGGCTGATCCCATGTGAACCGGTTGGATCGGTCTAATAATACCCCCTCCCAAATATCCACCTTATCCGCAAGGTGGAAAGATGACACCCTCCTCCATTCCTTCATCACAAATGGTAAAAACCTGAAGAGTTCGGTCCTTGCACATCTGCCCCGGCGTATACATCTTGTTGCATCTAAAACAGATTCCCTTCGCCCTCTTCTCCTGTAATTCTGTTTCTGTGAGCTTCTTGAAGTTGTCCTAGGTCTTTCTCCGGTAGTGTTCTCCTTCGTAGTTTTCCTAAGAATATTCGATGTTGGTTTCTGGGGTGCCAAAAAGGTGGTAGTCATCCTGTATGAGCCTCATGAACTGCTGCATCATGCTCCTTTTTCTAGGTTCCTCTGATCCTCCACCAATTGAGCTAGCTTCATAGACTCTCCTAAGTCTCGAGGTCTCATCACTCTAACTGTTGCACAAATCTTGGGTTTCAGTTCCTTCATAAGATTCCCCTCCAGTACTGTCTCTAGAAGCCGATCCAATCAACTGGCAAGGTACTAAAATTGCTCACGGTACTACATCATTATCCCCTCCTGTATCAAAGCGAAGAACTGCTCGTATAAGTTCCCTCCCCTATTGGTTTGGAAATGTTCCAACATACAGTCCTTAAACTCCCTCTAGGTCCTTATTGGTCGCATCGTATCCCTACCGTGCTAAAGCTTTCAATTCCAAGCACTTCCTGGCTTCCATCAGTCTCTCCCCCTTCGTCAACCTGTTGACGGTACAGTACATTTCCACTTTGTAGATCCACCCATGTGCATCCGCTCCCTAAAAATTAGACATCTTCAGCTTCCTCACCCTCAGATCGTCTCCGTTTCCTCTGTTCCCTTCATAACTTCCCCTTTCCCAAGGGGATAGTTCCCCCAAGTGTCTCAATCATCCCTTTTACGTTCATACCTCAGCCTTTCATCAAATTCTCACATTATCCTCTCAAATTCAGCACCTCTTGGATCATAACCTATGATGCACGGACACGGACACGGCGACACGGACACGACATGGACACGGGACACGGCTTTTTTAGAAAATATAGGACACTGGTACGGTGCGGACACGACAATACATTTTTATATAGTGTATATATGTTAATGTAATATCATATTAAAATGACAAACAATAAAAAATGAATGACATGATAACTTGTCTAGCTTATAATATAAAATATTTAGTACAATCACAAAAATATAAGCAAATAATCACTTACTACAACATCAAGCCTTCAAGCTTCAACTACTAGGATTAGGTTTAGAGCTTTGTTTTTGGCCTTCAATATTATCATCATTGAATATCACTGCTTTCAACTCTGGTTCAACAAGAGAAAGATTTGTAATTGTGCAAAAAAGAGAGGAGATGAAAATACCTTCACTGCCAAAGAGAAATGAAAATGAGAATATTCGATGAATGGGTATTAAATGCAGACGTTGATTTGGTGTTGTGGATAGGAAATAATAAATTTAGTTTAAATCTCGCCAAATATAAGAAATTATATTTTAAAAAAAATTAAAATATTTAAGATACGCGTGTCGGACACGCGTGTCCAATTTGATTTTAATATTTTTTTAATCGGACACGTTTTCGGCGTGTCCGACACGTGTCGGAGGAGTGTCGGACGAGTGTCGTGTCGGACACGGTGTCGGACACTGCACGCCTCTTTGAGGAGAAGTGTCGGTGCATCATAGATCATAACAAACCCCTCCCTTTTCAAATTCATCATCCTTTTGGTCATAATTACCCATTTCCCTTTCCAATCTCGCCGCTCTCCTCTCCAAATCAGCACATCTTTGTTCTTGCCCTACCTCCTCATGCCTCTCCTCATACTCTTTGCTCAGCGCCTCCCTAGGAGTAGGCTCTAGGAGAGGTATTCTCTCCTCTCCCTTTCGAGTCACCACCTACTGATCTCCCCTTTGCCTGATTGGCCTAGGATTTTTCCCATCCCCGTAGTTGTCGGCGCTTTCCTTCCCCTTCGACGGTGATATTTTGATTTTGCCCTCGAGCACTTTTTTCAACATCTCCAAAATGGAAAATTTCGAATCGAACTTATCATGGATGGCTGAAACATCTTTTTTTAACTCTATAACTTGAGTTTGGAGATATGAAATTTCATATTTCATTTGTCAAATCTCCACTTTGAGGCGTTCCTCCAACGCATCCATTTTCTTGGCCGCCATTGATGCATGGATTTTTTTAGAAATAAAAATATGGGCTTCGATATTCAAAAACAGCAATTTTCTTCTTCGAGACCGTTGAAATTCACCTAAACAGCCCACCAAATGCCCCAAAAACAGCTCTAATACTAATTTGATAGGAAACCCTTGTAGATCTCAAGTATTTCCTATTAATCTTCAAAAACAGCGAGAATTCTTCACAAAAATCCGCACAAAACCACAAAAACAATAGATAATTTGTATTATTTGATGAAAGGGAGACAAAAAAATAGAAAGACACAATTGATCCTCTATTCGAGAGGAGGATCGATCCCTCCCAAATCTCTAGACGCTGCTAGAGCCCAAAAGGAAACATAAATTTAAGAGATATCAAGTTTCAGCCAAATTCAAGATGCCCTAACCCTAAGAAAACAAATTATTTAATGCATACAAATTAAAAGGAAATCTCTATACAGGCCTTACATTCAAATTTCCCTCCCAAATTCCTCAAAATCCTTTCCCAAAAAGCTCCTTGAAACTTGGCGGCTTTATCGGCGAACGCAGGAGGCGGAGAAGTTCCGCCTCAGTTGCATATGGGCCGGTCTCGTGTGGACCGGCTGGACCAGTCTAACACAAACCTCCAGACTCGCCCAAAGTATTCGTTGCAGAAGACTCGCCCTGGGTACCCTCCATAGGATCTCGCCAGCGACGGAGAGCTATGTCGGTGCCTATTATGAAACCACAACCCTAATTACACTAGTGACAAAGAATACTAATTACACTAGTGACAAAGAATACAAACCTTCGTTCTCATAATAGCCAAGTCAAAACATAGAAAATTATCTTCAAATAATGGACACTATAGCATCAACACTCGTGGAATAGATTATTACATACACAAAAAAATAAAATGAGCAGGCAAATTTCTTTTGAATATCTTTACAAGTATGTATTGCAGGAAAGAAGACAAAAAAAAAAAGGGAATAAAGAAAAGAAAACATAAAAAGGGCAACCTCAATTGTTGGTTGCTCTTCTCCCAATCGCATTTCACTAAGAAATCCGACATTAACTCATAGAAGAGGTCTTGATCTTCAATATGCTACAAAACCCCTTTGAGTTGATCAGCTTCTCCAAGCAATACTTGATCCCCTTGTCACACTTCTTAAGTTCTTATTGAGGGATCTCTTGGTATATTATTTCTCTTTTAGATATATTTAGACTTCTTTTTGCTTCACCACTATTCAACTTAATAAAAATATATATATGAAAATACATTTAGAAATTCATTATTTTTGCCAATAGATATTTTTTTAAAATGAATTTACGTGCATAGAAACTAATTGTTCTAGCAACTCAAATTTTTTTGAGAATGTTATGATTGCATTTCACATTTCACAATTTCATGCCAAATATAGAAAACAATATCAAAATACATTAAAACTTCTTTTAAAGGCCCATAATTGGTTGCTTGACGCAAGAAAGCACCTTTTTTAAAACAATAAACTTGCTAGATTCCTTAATTCTAAATCAAATTTGTTTTAAAACAATACAAAAATATTTAAAATCTTTTAAATATGATGATTTATTTTTACTGAAAAAATAAGTGAAAATACAATTATTATTTTCTAAAAATAATGTCATCTACGAGCAATCAAATGAGTCCTCAGAAATTTTCTTATGATTAGTTTATATCATATTATACCATTCAAACTTTTGAACCATATTACTAACCTATTAAATTCTTATTTCTAAATATTTTTGAAGCATGCAAGAGTTTCCAGACATGTTTAACATTGCAACTTTACTATAAAAATTTACAAATTTGTGCTGTTCAATATCTCTTCTAAACTTTGAGAAATCAAATGCGGTCTTTTTCAATTGTATTGATTTAGTTATAGCTTGTTAATTGGTAATCAAATCATAATCAGTTTGGAATGTAATTACTTTTATCCATTAATAGTTGAGAAGTAAAAAATTAAATCTGTAACAGGTGAGATGATTGTAGGCCCAACAAAAACACTTTTTATGGATGAGATATCTACAGGATTAGATAGCTCAACTACACATCAAGTTGTGAAATGCTTTCAACAAATTGTGCATTTGGGTGAAGCCACTATACTTATGTCTCTTCTCCAGCCTGCACCTGAGACATTTGACCTTTTTGATGACATCATTCTACTTGATGAGGGCCAAATTATCTATCAAGGTCCACGTGATCATGTTTTAGAATTCTTCCACAGTTGTGGCTTTCGATGCCCTGAGAGGAAGGCTATTGCTGAATTCCTACAAGAGGTAAATATTGCAATGTTTTTAAGGAAAATTTTGAGCGCTTGGAGGGCAAATTTGGATTTTGGAGGAGTGGGCCTGTCTTCTTCAACAGAAAAACTTAATTTTGTTTCATGGACAGGTTACATCAAGAAATGATCAACAACAGTATTGGGAAAACAAGGAGAAACCATATGAATTCATGTCCGCTGCTGAATTCATTAAACGCTTCAATCGATTCCATGTCGGAATAGATCTGCGAAGTAGACTTTCAGTACCTTTTGACAAGAGAAAGAGCCACAACGCAGCTTTGGTCTTCACCAAGCGCTCTGCTCCTACTAAAGTTCTACTCAAGGCCTCCTTCACTAAGGAATGGCTTCTCATCAAGAGGAACTCCTTCGTTTACGTATTTAGGGCAATCCAGGTTCTTACAAATTTTGACCATTTTGAGTTTTTCTTCTTCATCAATCAACATGCATTTTCACACATGTTATATTTTCATGTTTGTAGCTCCTAATACTGGCATTTGTTGCTTCATCTGTTTTTCTGAGGACAAACATGAAAACAAAGACTGAGGCTGATGGGGCCGTCTATATAGGGGCATTAGTATATGGCTTGAATGTGAATTTTTTTAATGAATTTGCAGAGCAATCTCTTGCTATCTCAAGGTTACCAGTATTTTACAAGCAACGGGATCTCCTCTTTTATCCAACCTGGGTTTTCACCGTTCCAAATTGCATCGTAAGGATTCCCTTATCTATTATGGAGTCTGCTGTTTGGGTGATTGTGACATACTACTCCATAGGTTTTGCCCCTGAAGCTAGCAGGTAAATCAATCACCTTGATATATCTCAGAATTCTTAATATTATGATCTTGCGTTTGTTTATTGACTTAATCATATATGTGGGAGCTATTTGGTTGAAAGATTTAGCCTAGAAATAGTCATATTTGAGCTAATTTTTGTTAAATAGTTTTTTGAGCCACATAAACCCTACTACCTTCTTTAATCCAATTTTCATCAGATTATGGTCTAAATCTTGGATTTGTAAATTATGGGGAAGTAGGATTTAGAGATTTAAGTCTCCTCATTGTGCCTTCTCTTTCCCTTCATTGAAGTTGTAAATATAGAAAATATCTGCCAAATAAGCTTTTAGAATTAAGCAAGATTTAACAATTATCATGCCAACTTATTTTCATGATTTGACCCCTCTTAGATTTACTAAATCTAGATTTACAAGATTTACTAAAACCTTATTAATTTAAATCATATTTATATCCACACAACCATTACCTTATATTATTTTATTTGCTAAAATCATAATACCTTCACAAACCAGAGAAAAAAGATTGCATAAATAAAAAGATTAGAAGCAATAGAAGTAACAACTTGATTCTGTCTTGGAAGTAAAAACAAGTAAATAAAAAGAAAAATGTAGGAATCAAATATTAGGGCTGATTTTTTATTATCTCTTTAATAAATAATGAAAGATACAATTGATCTACTATTCGAGAGGTATATCAACTCTCCCACAAATCCTAGGCGCCGTTAGGAACAACTCTAAAGAAAAACTACAGCAATCACAATCACACAATGACAATAAAACCATCCAATTAACCCTAATATAAACTTTCCTATTTTCCTCCCAAATTTGAATTCAAATCATCAATCTTTCCGTAAATAAACCTTTTCTAATTCCCTCCCATTCAAATCAGCCATCTTTCCCTAAATAAATATTTTTTAATTCACTTTCAATCAAATCAATCCTCTTTCTATAAATAAAACTTCCCTAATTAGTTCCCGCTTAATTCCTCCTTATATAATGAATAATAGATCCCCCAAGCCCCACAAGGGTGTATCAATAGTTCCCCCACAAAGACGCACCTTGCTCTCAAGGTGGAAGAATGGGATCTTTCTCAATCGTGCATCCACGGTATTGTTCTCTAGTCCTGGACAATATTGGATCTCAAAATCATATCCAAGTTTGGATAACCACCTATGATGCTCCTCAATCACCATTCTATGCTCCAGCCGAAACTTCAGACTTTTATGGTATGTCCTGACGATAAAGTGTCTCCCCGACAAATAAAGTGGTTACTTTTGGATGGCTAAGACAGTTGCAATCAACTCTCGCTCATCTTATATGGACTTGAGCCTCGCCTTGGTCGTGAGCACCTGATTGAAATATGCAATTGCCTAATGATACTACATGAGTATTGCCGCTAGTCCATATCTTGATGTATCCGTCTCCGCCACAATTGGTCTATTGAAGTCAGGAAGTGGTAATATCGGCACGATGCTTATGGCTTTCTTCAATTGCTCAAAGGCCTGTGTTGTTGCTTCCCCCCAATTGAAATTATCATTTAGTTGCTTTGTTAGTGGCCATGCTATCGTACATACTCTCCCACAAACTTCTAATAGTACCTGGCGAGACCTAAGAATATCCTCTCAACTCTTTCAGGTTCTTCAATAAAGGCCAATCCAATATAGACTCATTTTTGGATTGGTTTGCTGCTACCCCTACTCTGCTCACCACATGTCATAGGTACTCTACTTGTGACTCTGTAAAGAAACATTTCTTCCGATTGACATATAGTTAGTGCTCCGTCAAAGTCTTCAGTATAGTCCTCAAGTGATCCACATACTCTGCCTCCGTACGACTATAGATCAGGATGTCGTCAAGAAATACTAAAACAAATTTTCTAAGGTAGGGTTGAAAAACCTGGTTCATGAGGGATTGAAAAGTGGCTGAAGTGTTAGTAAGGCCGAAAGGTTTCACAAAAAACTCACAGTAACCCTCATGAGTCCTAAAGATTGTCTTGTGCACATCCCCCAACTTCATTCTGATCTAGTGGTACCTCAACTTCTGGTCAATTTTCAAGAAGCTGATCGCCTCAAATAGCTCATCCCGTAACTCATCAATCACGAGCATAAGAAACTTGTGCAGCATAGTTTCCTTTTTAAAAACTTTATAATCCACACAAAACCTCTAACTGCCATTATTTCTCACTAGTAGAATTGGGCTGGAAAAGGGGCTTACACTAGGCTGGATAATCCCTGCCTCAAGCATCTCTCTGATGAGCTTCTCTATCTCATCCTTTCGAATCTGCGGGTACTGATATGGTCGAACACTGATAGGAGAAGCTCCCTCTTTCAAGGTATTGGCGTGCTTGTGCTCCCTAGGTGGCATTAATCCGTTAGGCTGCTAAAAAATAACAGGAAACTGCTGCATAAGCTGGCATACACACTTAGGGACCTCGACTCACTCTAAATCTCGCACCTCCTCTAGGCTCTGCAGCTCCACCAAGTAACTCGACCCTGCTCCCTGTATCGTCTTGACCATGGTTTTAAGTGAAACTATGGTTTTGAACAGGTTGGCATCTCCTTGCAACACCACCCTCTTCTCCTCCACCTGGATCTCCATTGTCAAAGTTTTTCAGTCCACCTTTGTCTCCTCGATCATCTGTAACCACTTCATCCGTAGGATCACATCAGTTATCCCTAAATTCAAGGGAAGAAAATCCTCTACTATCCATATGCCCTGGAGTGTCAACACCAACCTCCTGCAGATCCCCCTTACTCTCCATCTTCTCCATCCCCATCATGACTCCAAAGCTTCTTGTATCCACCAACTTCAATCCCAACTAGTCCATAACCCAATTTGAGATGAATTTGTGAGAAGGCCCGCTATCCACCAAGACCACCATTGGCCGCTTCCCAATCTGTCCCCTCACTTTCATTGTGTGATTTAGAGTAAAATCCCACCACTGAATTAAGGGATACTTCTGCCATATCAAGGTGTAGGTGCTCTCCTCCCACTTTTGCTTCCTCTTCCAACTCCTCGCTATTGTTCTCCTCCTCATCAAAAACCATAAGGACCTGGAGTGTGTGGTTCTTATACCGATAGCATGATGCATACTTCTAATCACATCAGAAGAAAAAACCTTTTGCTCTCTTGTCCTTCATTTTTGCCTCTATGAGGCTTTTGAAGTTGGCCTGGGGTGAACTCCCCCACTCTTTTCGAAACTCCACCAATCTTCTCCCTTGATGCCTCCCGCTGAAATGACATTGTCTGGGTCCTCGATGCCAGTGAAGTCGAGACACTCTTGTAGGAGCCTCTCATGACTCCGCTCCTACTGGTTCTCTCCATCTGTCTCTGATACCTATTATCTGGGCTAGCTCCATCGTCTCCCTCAACCCCTTTTGCCTCAACAATCAGAGGTCTTCCCGTATGTTAGGCTTTAAGCCCTTCATAAAATTTTCTTCCAATATTGCCCTTGAATCCCCCTCAACCGTCCTAACAACAACTCATATCTCTCCCTATACTCCATGGTAGTCTCTTCTTGAGTCAAGACAAAGACAAAGAATTACTCGTGTAGGTCTCCTTCCCGAATGGCTCGGAAATGTACCAACAAGCAATCCTTAAATTCCTTCAAAGAGTGGATAAGATATCTTGCCTCCATTCACTGGAACCAAGCTAGGGCTTTCCCCTCCAGACATAGCTATGGGTGTCAAAATATGTCACGACCCGAAACTTGACTTGAACCTGACCTGGAAAATTTCGGGTTTGGCTTAACCCGTTTGTTATATGAGTTGGGTTTGAGTTTGTAATTCCAACCCGTTTGTAAAATCAGGTAGGATTCGGGTTGACCCGGAAACTCCAAACCAACCCGGATTGATCCATTTTCATCATCATGCGTGAGGCCTATCTCGTCAAGCATCAGCAAATGAGGTTGCTCAATGTCGCCTCGTCATGTCTCCCGTCGCCTCGTCGCATCACCTCGTCATGTCCACTACTGTCGCCGTCTGTTCCGCCAGCACTGTCGCTGTGGCCGTCAATCCCTCCGTGGCCCCACGCTGGCTCCTGTAGGCAGTGTCGCGGTTAAGAGTCGAGAAGACGAGACCTAGTCGGCGGGCCCGCTCTGCAGCCTCGCGGGTCAGGTTGGGTCAACCTGATAACCTGCGTGGGTCGGATCCGGGTTAATGTCCACACGTTTACAATCGAGTCAAGTCGGGTTCGACCTAAACCCGACCCATTGTCCCGAGTTGACACCTTTAGACATAGCCCTGCTGTCGTAAGCTTCTCCTCCTCATTTAGCCCATTCACCATGAAATACCTCTCTACCCAACACACTCACCCATGGGCATCCTCATGAAATATAAACATCTTGAACTTCCTTATCCTAGCATCTCCATTCCAAATTCCTCTCCCTCCAATGGTTTCCCCCGTGTATTGAGGGCGAGAATCCAGTCTTTCTTCCATCCTCCTTGCATGATCCGATCCCCATGGCTTGTCTTGACCCCCTCCATCTCCAATCGCCCAATCCCCTTGCTCGAAATGTCTCCCATAGGGATCAAGGTTTAAAATTGCGTAAATAAGCCTCGAGGCGGTTTTCGTCCGTGAGGCGAGGCGTAAGCCTCGAGGCGGTCTGAGGCGTAAGCCTCACGGACACAGAATTGCGTAAATGAAAAATTAAGGGTTTTAGCAGGAAAATAATGGCAATATTATATCTTACAATAAAAACATCTAAATGATATATGAAAATAGTTGAAAGTAAGAAAGTAGATGCAATAAAATCATGTCCCAAAGTACAAAATCACAAAATATTAGTTTAACAAAACTCCCAAAGTACAAAAAACATATAAAATGCAATCATATGCCATCACTAAATGGGTCTTCAAGGGAATCTTCTTCTCCAATTGTATCTATGAATGTCATGTCATCATCATCTTTAATATAATTCACTTTTTTTTTTCCTGTTCAATAAGAGAAAAGATCATTAGCATGTTAATTGCTCACTTGATATAAATATACTGCGATAGTCTAT